ATGAAAGCACTGAGTACTAAAAGACAACCAGAGTCTTCTACGTAACTCATCCTTGTCACTGTAAGATCCTTTAACGATGTGGTCATTGGTTACAAAACACAACTGATCAGTTGGATGAGTCTAACTAAATAGAAAATAGAAAGCAGTCAAGCCATGAAGAGCTTAGATATGGAGATGAGATTATCTCTAGTGGGCACAGGCAAAACCCAGTAACTTCTTTATTTCAACAGGAGTGGTAGATACTCTGGTTACTATGAGAGCTGCTGATTTCTGACTAAAACCAGTTCTCAAGTACTGCACTGGAATGACAGCTCAAGGTCACCACACTTGACAAGATAACCCGAAGATGTACTTCACTGCTGCTCAGTCTTACCATACAAAATGGACATGAAAGCAGCAGCGTACACAGCGTTTCTGAATCCCCATCTCCTTACCTTTGCCTTTATCCCACTCTCGGACATAAGGCACGCCAGGCTTTGTATCTCTTCTCTCCTGGATGACAACCTCTACCTTTCTACTTGCTGCAGGAACTCTTGGAGCTTCTGGTTCATCAGTAGCAGCTTTCACCTCTATGTTACACAAAGAGAACGCAGTATTTGTGAATAACAAGATAAAAATCTACATAAGCCTCACAGGAGGAAGAGGAAGCAAGAGTTATTTGCATTTACAGAGCTCATACTAGTTATCTAATTTCATTCTAATAATGAAATGCATCAGAGTAAGGAGGTGATTTTTTTCCCCTAATTACAGCATATTAATTCAGAAAAGGTAATGGGTAGGAGGCAGATAACCAGAAAACATATTCACCAGGAGACACTTCATTACCTTTCTACTTGTATCAAAAAGACTGCTGAAAATCTACTGCCTAATAACCCAAAAAACAATGTGCCAAGTGTTACACTGAAGCTAAAAAATTAGGTAAAAAATAAGAACATTAGTGTGTTATCTCCATTTCATTTACTGGAGAAAACAGTTTGTGGTGTTCTTCTGAACAACAGTAACAGCAGTGGCACAGGACTGTTCCTCATTTCCAGAACACTTCCCAGTTAATCACTTGCACAGAATTCTGACACTGTGAAATATTAGCAACATTTTACAGTGGGAGACAGACAGTGCAGGTTGAGCAGCAGTGTCATAAGGGAGACAGAGCAGAGATGGGGTTAGAACTCCGTCATCCTAAATTCTAACTTAGCTGCATGCCTGATTTACAGACTGCACTGAAACTGTAAGACTGGATATATCAGAATTAACTTGTCACTGCTTTGTATTCTATTTAATCTTAAGAAAGAGCCAGAAAGACTTCAGCTGCTCTAACCTCAACCTGCAGAATTAACCCACATAATTTCTGCTGTCAGGTGTGCATCAAAAAAGCCTACAGTCTACATACGGTATTTCTACCTGCGTTATTAAGCCATTTCTGGCATGATTTTATATCTACACACAATAATCTGAACTCTATCTTAACAGTTATACTATATAGAACACACAATACCGATACATTCAATGTCCAGACCTAAATCAACTAGAATATGCCTCTCCATCAAGTACAAGCTGAAGTAGCAAATGTTTAAGAGGCAGCAGATCATACCTCCATTCTCCAGTTTCAATGCCTCTTCCTCTAATCCAGCTTCCCTTAACTTTTTAATCTTCCGTGCTCGCAGTTTAGACAGCCTTGCATCCAGAGCTGCCTTCCTTTTCTCCTTCAGCTGCTCACGTTTAGTTCTCTGATCAAGTGTCTTAGCAGCAAAGAAAAACATGAATTAATATCCCTTGGTTATTACAATCAATTATATCTTCCTTCAGTAAACAAAAAGCAGTCCTCATCAGCTACCACGCTTCAACAGGGAGAGAGGCCCAGTATTTCTGGAGTCAGCTATAGGCATCACCTAGTATAAGACTTATACAATAAATCAAACCCAGTGAAATTGGGATACCCTCATACCCCAATTTGCTCTTGAAGCTCATACCTGCTCTCTGAGCATATCCAGTGTTGCCCGTTGTTTATGCCTGAGTTCTTTGTCGCGAGAAAAGGCAAAGTACCCAACGCCGAGCTGCCTGGCCTCTGCAAAGAGCATCAATAAATTGAAGTTACACTCGGTTTATAGTTGACAGTAACTCCAAGCACCATGCCCCCTGCTTTCAGGCACAGAATTACTCCGAAAAACATACACTGCATTAGCTTTAGATGGCTATAAAGGGCTTGGTTTAGATGATGCACGAAGTGAAGCTTCCTCAAGGAGAACACAGGTGAAGGGAATGACACTGGAAAAATACGTTTGAGGAAGAATAAATCTAGACTTATGTAGTGGTAATCTGAATGGGTTTTACATGTGTGGCTTAACACCTACACTTTTCCAGGTAGGCACAAGTAGTAACCTTCCCTTGCTTCCTCCAAATCTGATCTCTTTGGGGATATAAAGATAAGTGATATGAAGTTTGGAAGCATACCATTTTCTCGAATATCCTCGTAATGTATGGGTCCCATGGGTTTTCTGAGGGCTTCTTCTTCTTCTTTTTCCCACTGCTGCCTCTGAAGTTCTCTTTTCATGTCTTCAGATAAGAGAGTATTCCCATCAGGAACTAGTCTAATTAAAAATAAAAGGTAGGGATTACAGAGCAGCTCTACGGTAGCAAACAGTAAAAGTGCTGATTGGGTCTGATCCACTCCTGCAGTTTTCCCAGTTTTCCCAAAGCATAGATGATTGCAGGCACCCTTTAGTGACACCACGTAGATGATTATGGTACATGGTGAAGACTAACACAAAACTACGCTCCGTTAAGTGATGTTTTACACTCAGTCAGCGCTTACTTTAAAAAGTGTGCCTTAGTAGTTTATTAATAACTTCCTTTGGGCTTTTATTTGAGAACATGGTCCCCATCCTGTTGCTATTTCAAACTGATACGCCAGCCATGTATTTCAAATGGTCAGCTGCCAAGGTGAAATAAAACAGAAGCCGTGGACTAATATATGGATTATAATAAGAAGTTCTGATCACATCAGTAATGCACAATTTCTTTGCAGCTGCTCGAGTTTTTAAGGCATAATATTGTAACCAGCAGAAGTTTGTCTGAAGTAAATAAAGAGGAAGTAGTAGAATCAGTAACTCTGGATTGAGAATGGGCTAACAAAATCACAGCCTCATTTCCTTCTCATTAAAGGATTCTTGTTAAACACTGCAAGGAGCATGCATTTCCATCAGAGAAACCACACCTTTTCCCTTGAAGTTCCTGATCCATTTTAAGTAGACTTGGCAAATCCTTCTTCATACAGCGTCTCGATCGGCCCAAGAAATCAACATAATCAACCCTGTGATGAAAGCAAAGGAAATCTGAATCAGAACTTCTATTTGCAGAACTCTTTAACCAGAAGATAGAAGCAGTGGTGCTTTCCAAAGAGAATTCATCACCTCTCAGTCTCTCCAACACTCACAGGCTAAGGGGCTATATTCTGAACAGGGCATATGACAGTGTTATCACAGACATTTCCTCCAGCTCCCTCTGAGCCAGTCTTTGCCTTGGCAATAAGATAGCATTAAAAAAATAATAGTCAAAGGTTACAACATTGTGTAGTTTTCACACCAAAATAAAACTGAACCTGGTACTTGCTTCCCACAGTGAAAATAATGGCGTGGCATTGACTTCTTGCAGATATGAAATCGCTACAATACACTTCAATTATCAGTCTAAAGGTCATTTAGAGTAGGCTGATAGCATTCATTCAAGTGCCATAACAAAGGCTGACTAAAATGCAAGCAAAATGTTCCTTTGAAGCACATATTGTGCTGCTTATTATTTATAGCACTGAACACTTAATTTACAGTTGTTGAAAAGCTGTTAAGAGCTGTACTTACTGTGCTGTAATGCCAGGAAGTTCTTGAGCATCAAGCTGCCTCAATTATCCTGGTCTAAAGAATTAATACCACACTTGAAAAAGTATGAGTGGCAATCTGGTTCCCAAAACCCAAACTTGTGAAGATCTGTGCTTTTAGTTTACTCTTTTACATAATTTCTAAGGATATCTACAGCTCAGTAAGTACTCTTTGGGTTTTATTGTAATGTAACATTAGCAGGAAAAAAGTCTACATTCTCTAAGGTAAAGATGCAACTATGGCTGCAGGATAATCAGCATTAGTTTTGCCAGTACCCAAATATCCTCATTAGGATCTGGCCTCACTGAGATGGAGAGTATATTGATAATGATAATACATGTCACTGAAGTGAGATGTAGGCAGTGATGGAAAAGCACCATGTGAATGGTAATCTCCAATATATTAAGGTGACAGGAGCACAAATCAATTTGAGCTCACTGCTCTTGGATAGCTTCATCCTGATTTTCAGCAGGATGCTGGGAATGGGTATATCTGCCTTTGAACCCAGCAGTCTTCCTGCTGGATTCACTCTCCCAGTTCAGTCTGAAACACTGCAAATCTGATCGTGGCCTAATAAACTAGAGACTGAAGGGGTGTGTGTGTATGTTCTGTTTTATATCAGTTACTGCTCTTTTAAACTGATTACTAGAAATTAAATCTCTGTTCCATAAACTTTTTGAACAAATGGGAAAGGAAAATGTTTAGTCAGACCAGCTTCTTAACCATCCTGAATGTCCTGGATGAAAAGCTAGTGGTCAGTGTTTCTCTGCTTTAAGAGGAGGTCACAGAGTGAAAACAACTGCTCATTTTGGACATCACACAGAAGTAGAGAAGGTGGATACAGTAATACCCCCACGTTTTGCTGAAGTACATTTCAAGATGCCAAAGCATAAAAATGTATCAATGCTGCAATCAGAATTGCCATAAACTATGCAAGAGAATAAGAGAGGATATTATGACATCTCACTTATAGTACATCTCCTCAGATGCTATTTCTCTAAATCCTGGATGTAGGTTCTATTGCAGCGTTACCTACATGGGAAGGAAGAGTCAGGACAGCCAAGCCCAACCCTAGTACGAACCATTCTTCATCTGGGTCCTCAGGTGGTGGTATTTCCATTTCAGGTTGAGCATCCTCATCATCTGTGTCTTTTTCTGAAGTCTTTCTAGCAGCTTCGCTCTGACACAGCTCCTGCACCTCATGCTGTTTTTCTATGATCTTCTGAGTGAAATCCACTAGGTACAAATCCTCTGTTTCTTCATCTAAGGCAGAAAATCAATTCTTAAGAGAACAGCCATGAAAAGAACAGAACTGAACACAAAATCAATACAAAATAGCTACAATCAGCTTTTCAGCTGCCAGCAATGCCCTTGACTACGCTATTGGGGAATACTTAAATCTCATTCAGTGCCAAACAAACTTGGAGCTATAAATCAGCTCCATAGTGGTAACTTCTATTTCTGAATAGAAGTTTTGGGGTATTTTAAAGCAATTAATCATTTGTGTATAGCAGAGAACAAGTTGAGTCTTTGCACTAAAACATTCTCTGCCCATTAACCAGTTCAGCAGCACAGGGTTTGTTATGGAACAGTTCAAATACTTCCTTGATGCTTAACACTTGGTAAGATAGCAGTAGTAAAGCTGCCCCTGGAGCACTTTTCAAGAGAAATAGAGAAAAGTGGTGGGGTCACAAGGATAAAGATGGACATTAGTAAAGAAAACATGCGAGATGAATCACACAGATTTGGATTCTTGCTTCTTGCAGGGGACTGAGTGTGAGAGAAGAGAGGCACAGACTGGAATTCGCTAATGCTATGAGCTGCATGACTGGCAGTCATGCATGGACCAGCCAGACTGCCCTCCTGCTCCTCTTCATAAAGGTCCAAGAATTAGGATGCAGGACACAGCATCAGCAATGCAATCTAAAGACTGCATAATGGACAAGAAATTCATTTTGGTTTTCTAGGATTCTACACTGAAAAACCCCCAGAATATACTCCACCCATTCAATGAGTGAATGGGTGCTTTTCCATCATGCTTTCCTAGGACAGGCTGTCCTTCAGAAAGTAATCTCATTTTCTCTAGTGTCTGTGCTTTTTCTCTCTTTCAAAGCAGAATAACCCATGTCAATCACTTCATACAATAACTCAAAAAATAATTCCCATGTACAAGGACAAGCAGTGAATTCATAGTGTAGCTGCTGTGAGTCACCAGAGCGAGAAATACCACCTTTCAGGGTACATTTGAAAACCAAGTTTTATATTTGTGTATATATCTATCTATATCTAAAAATACTCATTTAGACTATTTTTTTTTTCCACCTGGAAAGTTGCCTTTGCTCATCTTCTCATACAGCTTTGCTTTCTCTTCTAGTTTCTTCCTGAAAAAGAAAAGCAAAACAGACCAAACATTGCAATCCCACCAATTCCAAACACAGTTAAAATAACCAATTTAGCCTTAGAGAAATGGAACAGCAAAGTACCAGGAGTGCTTGAAATGTTTACTAGAAGCTGACTGATACCTGGTTTTGAAGCTTAACTGACATTTCTGAGGATACATGTCTGGTTCCAGTGTTTATACTGAAAAATCATTTTAGTGAAGTTACAGGATTAAGCTTAACTGTAAATCAAGTCGGTGGGAACATGACAGAACAAGTATTCCACCTCTAACTACTACAGTCTGTCAGTACTGGAAGCTAGACCATTATCTGCAGGTATGAGATACTGAAATACTGTTTTACAAAGAAGGGGAAGAAAAGAAAGAGAGATCATGGAGTTACACTTGATCTTAGAAACTGAAGAGAAAACCTGAGCTCATTTCTGGAATGGCAGAAGACAAGTTTGAAGACCAAGAAACCGCTCACAGAAAACCAGCAAATGGTTTATAACTTGTGTTTTCAGCATCTATCTTACCGTACAAGTAAGCCATTTAGAAAATGAACTATACCTTGGAATAAAGTGAGCTGTTTTCTGTCCAAGAAACACTTTGCTATAGAATTCTAACATAATGCTCCCCTGGCATTTAATTCTGAATACGACTTTCAAAAATCAGTAATGTGACAGACTGAGAGAGCTGCGATAACGTGAGGGCAGCCCCAGAGCATGAGACTGCTGGATCCAGTTTGTACATTACTGGTAAAAAGCCTGGAATCGATGCTGGTCTTACTGGTTGGTCTAATGAGAACTTCTGGTCCAAAACACATGTAACTTGATTTATGTGCTTTTCTAAACACTGGAAAGCAAATTGTAGAAAGCATTCCTTCATTACAGAGCCTGAGAGTTACCTTGACGTATCCAGTATATGCTCCTCTTCTTTCTTCTGCTCAACATCTTTCTCAGCTCGATTTGCAACTCCTGTGTTTTGTTTGTTCCAGATGCTTGGTTTCTGCGGGTACAATTTTACAACAAATAATCAAGAAATAATAATAATGCAGAAATGCTTAATGATTAAAAAAATATTCCAACTCCACAATACAAACTTTGCAAATCAATCATGAAAAACTGTAAGTAACATCTTAAACATGACTGACTTGAGACTACGCCTGCTGAGCTGTAGGACAGAGCAGTGCAGTACAATAACAGCTAAGGAAAGGCTGAGAAGCAAAGAAAAGGTACTTAGAAATGAAACAAAATCTATTCTGATAAAGATGTTAACGTTAAAAAAAAAGTAATCAGCAAGATTGTTCTTATTAAAGTAATAACAAAGCCATGAATTGATTCTATTCTCTATTACCTTCATTTTAGATACAAAATACAATCAGTTTGCCTGTTTGCAGCATAACACTGTAAATTGCTGCTTATTCTTCAAATGTGGCAGCGATACTGCATTCTACTACTGGAAAGCTACACAGTAGCTTGCAGTAAAGAGTAAAACACAGTAAGTTTTACTATATGATGCAGTAAAACACAGTAAGTTTTACTATATGATGCACTGTGATATAAAAGAACTGAGAGCAGAGCATTCATCAGGAAAGTTCAGTGATTCTGGAAGAGTCTCTCATCCTCCATCCTTCAGGGAATAAAGTACAAAGTCTTGGAGAAATAAAAAAGCAGCATCTTCTCCTGTAGTGACAAAAGCTGTGGCTCCTGAGGAGTGGAGGTTAAGAGGTGACCCAGATGGGCATAAACCTGAGACAAGTTTTCTGCTGTGCACATGAATCTCACCTGGAAATGACATTTAAAGACCACCCTCATCAGGTAGATTTTATATCTGAGTAGCAACACAACTCTGAGTATTTACTGATTTAGATTTGAATATGATCTTCCTTATTTTAAAGGGAAAGAAGGACCAAAACAACAATGGAAAAACACCTCTACCTTATTAGAAGTCTTGGGCTTTGTGAAGACGCCAGCATCTTTCAGGAGCTTTTCTTTCTTGAATTGCTCTTGCTTTCGGAAGAG